CATGTTTTTTAGTGAGATTTAGTTTTTATTTTCCTGTTTCTGAGTCATATTTACTTTTTATTCTCACATCCTTTAGTCAGAACCCCTCCTCAGTTCCCGCCTCTGACCGGCCCTCACCTGTCCGGCCCCCCAGGTGCGCGCAGCCCCGCCCCCCGCCAGAGGACCCGGATGAGGACGGTGTTCACGGAAACCCAGAGCAGAGAGCTGGAGCAGCTCTTCCTGCGCGCGCACTACCCGCCCGCGGACGCGCGCGCGCAGCTGGCCGCGTGCACGGGCCTGAGCGAGGAGACCGTGCGGGTGAGTGAGAGCCGGGCACGCGCGCGCAGAGACGCGGGCGCGCGCGCGCAGAGAGGCTGCTTTTACGCAGCCGGAAAAGAAAAAGACGCAGAATATTTAGAGCAGAATATGAACTTTTTTGTTTTGTTTTTAGAGTATAATCTGAACTTTTCCTTCTATATTTAGAGCAGAATATGAACTTTTTTGTTTTTAGAGTATAATCTGAACGTTTCCTTCTATATTTAGAGCAGAATATGAACTTTTTTGTTTTTGTTTTTAGAGTATAATCTGACCTTTTCCTTCTATATTTAGAGCAGAAAATTAACTTTTTTGTTTTGTTTTTAGAGTATAATTGAACTTTTCCTTCTATATTTAGAGCAGAATATGAACTTTTTTGTTTTGTTTTTAGAGTATAATCTGAACTTTTCCTTCTTCCGGTTCCAGGTTTGGTTCAAGAACCGCCGCGCGCGCAGGAAACGGCAGCGCAGCGGCTCAAAGCGCGCGGCCTCCCGCAGCCCCCCCCGGGGGGAGGGGGGGCCTAATGGGACCTAAAGGGGCCTAATGGGACCTAAAGGGGCCTAAAGGGACCTGCTGAGACCTAATGGGACATAAAGGGACCTGTTGGAACCTAATGGGACCTGTTGGGACCTGCTGGGACCTAATGGGACCCCCAGGGACCTAATGGGACATAAAGGGACCTTCTGGGACCTAATGGGACATAAAGGGACCTGCTGGGACCTGTTGGGACCTAATGGAACCTAATGGGACCTGCTGAGTCCCGCTGGGACCTAATGGGACCCGTTGGGACCTAATAGGACCTACTGGACCCCCCTGGGACTTCAATGGACTCTGTAATTTATACTGTATTTTTTTTTTACTGTAATTTATTGAAAAACTTCTTTAAAGAATAAACCCGGTGACCTAAGAACCTGTTTTTGATTCATTTTTTAGTCAAATCTCCTCTCATTTTTACACAATTGTGTCTTATTTTCTAAATTAAATCTCATGTTTGACCTTTTTTTTTTTTCAATCTCAGCTACTTTTATCTATTTAAAATAAAATTTCCAAACAAATTTGGACTTAAAGAGAAATAAAATCACAAAATTAGAGATCTTTGTGAGGTCTGTGGAGATTAACTGGATCTTTTCTTCTCATTTCTTTACTTTTATTCCCTCTAATGAAACAAAAGATAGATAGATAGATAGATAGATAGATAGATAGATAGATAGATAGATAGATAGATAGATAGATAGATAGATAGATAGATAGATTAACTGAATAAAAACAGGACAGGAGCGTTAGAAAAACATCGACTCTTTATTGTTTGTGGGGCGGGGAGCTGCGCATGCACAAAGGGACACACACGCTACACAACCGGAAACACAAAGTACACTTAGTGGTTTTTCAAAATAAAAGCTCTCCTCAGAGCCGGGCGGAGCCCCTGCTGAGGCTTTTCCCACTTTAGGGGCCAGGAAACCGAAACAGGACTCAGTTTGGGAACTACGGAGGCTGAGAAGAGCCAAAATCAGAGGTTATTTCATCCATTTATCGTTTAATCTGGATTTACTCCAATAAAAAAATATGTCAAATCGAGCTTCTAAAAGCAGATTATAAAGTTTAGTTGGTGTTTGGGAAAGTATAAACGTGTGGAATGACTCCAGTTTCTGGCCTCGAATGGGGGGAAAAAAACAAAATAATGTCAATTAAAGTAAAGCCATCATGTTTTGATGGGAAAATGAGTTAAAAATAAGTGGATAATTCAGCTGAACTCTAAAAAACGGGCTGTTTTAGATTCATATTAGTGGATAATTCAGATGAGTTTGGGAACTACGGAAGCAGAGAGGGCCCAAAAACATAATAATCTTTTATCCATTTATCGTTTTAACGTGTTATTTTATGGGATTTTCTTGAGAAATCAACATAATATTCTTGTTTTCTTGTAACAACTTCAATGTTTTGATTGGAAAATGAGTTAAAAATCAATAGATAATTCAACTGAACTCTTAAAAACGAGTGGTTTCAGATTCATAATTCACCTGAAAGGATCTAAACTCTGGGGTTTTAAGTGTTTAAGCTCTTTAAAAGCCAGAAACAGTTATTTTACAGCACATGAACATCTGGAAGCGTGACTTTCCTGACAGGTTAGAGCTGTAAATCTTCCTTTTTTGGGCCTAGAACCCACAATCTGGAGCCACCGAACAGAAAAAGGCTTTTTAGTGTTCTTACAGAGGGATTCAGGACAATAGCAAAAGGAGATACGTTCACATGTTGCCGTTTATAGATCTGAAACATTAACACTCACATAGATTAAGAGGTTTTCCCATTTGAACAGAAGCTCACGTCCACAAAAGTCTATTTAAACGGAGGCAGAGGAGCAGAGAGGAGGGAAAAGGAGGAGAGGGGGGGTTTTAATCCTTAATTTTGGAGTTTAGGGACCGATAATGGGACAGAGAGCTCTGATTTTAACACAATGTGAG